GATCGTATGAACTACTACTAACCTTAATGAAGATAATACAAACTGCAAAANACGAAGAGCACAAATTAGGTTGTAGGAAAAAAGATTACGATGCATAATAATATAAAAGAAAAATATAAGAATTTTATAAACAAACCTTGTTCTAGGTATGAAATTTAGAATGGAATACTATTTATAAGATAAAAATATAAGAATCTAGGGTTTACTAAAAACCAAAAAGAGGAAAAATATGAATGTTCAATCAACATATAATAANTCACCTCAAGAACAATAAACATACCTGCAAAATACAAATAAAAAAACCAGGCTAACACACGAACACAGCATAAACCATAATTTAGCTTCAACACGACTACGATAGGATAAAAAAAGAACANAAAATCAGACACGGTATGAAGGCAAACCTTGTTAAACGTATAGACGTCCACTCAGACAATATTTATAAGAAAATAATGATAGAATCTAGGGTTTATGAAAACCGACATATATTAATGGGCTTACAAATAATTAAAAAAATTTGAATAGAGCCCATAAAATTCTGAACAGCCCAAACGAAACCCAATTATTTTGAACAGTATCAAAACCGACTAATGAACATGGACTACAAAAATATTTTGGTCCAAACCCAATTATTGTTTATGAAGGATATAAGGCTCACGAAATTTTGATGGCATGAGATGTAATTACCTTAATTTTATTAAGGGTATCCCTGTAATCAACCACCCTCAAATTCATTCTGAGGACGCCACGTAGGATTTCGCATTTCATATATAATTATATAGATGACAAAATTGTAAAGAAGTGATCTATAATTTTTCGCTGTGTGATTTAAATAAAAACTACATAGTATGATATTATAAAATATTATGTATGATCAGCAAAAAAATTGTCATAAAGGCACAATAAATGGATTTTATTTATTAAAAATTATATACGATAAATAAAATAATATATTTATAATTGTTTTATCTGTTATTATCATTTAAATAAAATGGTGAAATCTGGCCATATATGATAGCAATATTTTTTCGATAATTATGTTACTAAAGATAATTGACATATATAGACAACTATTTTTTACTCTGAGTAAACTAAATTTTTTAACGCTAAATTATATTTAATATATTTTCAGTTAAATCACATTTTTCAGTATGAACAATTTATATCAATCATATAGTATACATTAATTATGTTGTGTCCCTTTTGCAA